TGAACAATTTGCCTGAAGAGAACAGCTGTATACTGTTGAAAGTAATAAATTCTTTTTGTGTAACACCAACAGACAGTTTGGTACATCATATTTTCTAATAGTGCAGTAAGACACACTTAACACGGGAACATGTTCCTAGATGACAAAGCACTAAATGAAACAGTGTTAATCGAGGTCATTTTAACACAGAGTAAATAGAGAAAGGAAAACAGGCAACCATAATAAACAAATTTTACTTTAATTTTAAGTCATTTTCATATTAATTTGCATAAAAATAAATGTTAAATAAACAAACATATGCACACAGAAATGTAAAGTTCATTTTTTGTGATGAAGGTCCTGGTTTTTCTGAAATTCTTGTGTTTTCAGATAAAGTCGTGTAGTTTCCTTTGTCACTTTTCCCCCCTTAAGGAAATGTCAATAGCAGAAGATCACATCCAAAACACGTTGTCTTGCTTTTGCACTCCTTTCAAAATCTGGATTGTTCGCTACAATTTGATCAATGATTTCGGTAATCATTACCAAACTTTTACTGAGGAAATCTGTAAAGAAATTTTTAGGATTCTTTGTTTTCAGAATCAATGTTTTCCAGTTCTACACAAATTCCTTGTTCTGCCAGTTCTTAAAGGTTGTCAGTGGCAAGGCTCTCGTCAGAAACCTGCAGTAACTCCTCAATATCCTGCTTGTCTACATCTCCTAGTCCCGCTGTATTGATTAGGTTGACAATTTGGTCAAATTAACGATACAGAGATAGGTTTTTCTTATTGAGAGTTCTTGGATACCTTCAGCCATAACTTCTTCCACACTTTGTTCATGCATTTATTAGTTATTTCTTGCCAAGAGAAGTCAATATTGCCTATGGCATCCATGATATTATATTTTTTTCCAAAGTTTAAGGAAAGTATGGCACTACGACGAATTGCCACCTTTTGCTGATTAGTTTGTGTTCATAAATAATCATATTATATATGAATCAATGAAATGCCGCCATAATTTAAATTGGTGTAAATTTTGAGCTTTTTTTAAGCTTCAAGCAGGCCGCATTATATTGAATCAACATTAATCGAGGCAGCATTAAGTGGGGTCTTACTGTATTTGGCATGTATAATTATTTAAATTTTATTACAAACACTTTATTGATGATTTATTACATAAAAACTGTAGAAAATCAAAACTAAATAAATTTTTTACCACTTCATACTGTAAAGAATGTATTGTTTAATTTTCTACTTTTATTGTTTTTTTTCAGTTATTGTAATCATCAATTATGATGATCATAACAAATGGCATCCACTGTAATTAAAACTTTATTTTAAGCATTAGGCCTATCATCAAGTTAATGCTGTAACTTATCCTCTTAACAAAATTATAATCAATTGCAATAAATGGAAAACTATTCTTAAAATAGATTGGAACCATTAATATAACTTCAGATAAAAATCATTTACATGAAAATAAAGTATCTAATAATTTCAACATTTAAAATGATAAATTAATTTTCTAAATTAGACAGGAAAATTTAATTGCTAAGTGCAGCTACATTTTAAAAGAATACAAAAAAGAATAGATGAGAAAAATGTCTAATATTAAAAAAAAAAACACTTTAAACAGAAAATAATAAAACTAAAAGTAACTATTTTGATAATTAATAAATATGATATTTATTAGTTCATCAGTATATTGGCAAAACTGTTTCTTTTGGTGTAGTTCAGCAATTTAATAATACTACTTTAATGTTTTCTTTAATTTTTGTATTTTATTATTATTATTTTTTGTTATATTTGCACACAGAATTTGGTTAAGCTGTTTGATTTTAATACATATGATTTGATATCTGTTATGATTTATGTAAAGAACTTTTAAAATTCATGAAGGTTATCTGAGAATGATAAAATGCATAGCATGAACTGAAGAATTTACATGGTGGCCCAGAATATTAAAACATATTGAAACTGTTGTAACATAATGTCAACTATGCAATCAAGAAAGAAAGAACAGACATGAATGCTAATGTCTTATCAACCCATTTTCTACCAAGGTTAATGCTTCCCTTATAAACCATGGTAGAAAATCATGAACTTGCTCCTACTAGAAATAAAGTGGTATCTATTAATTAGAGGTACCCAGAGTTAGCACTTTTGAAAAGTCTAAAATGAAAAAATAATTTTTTAACTGAAATCCATCTTCAGACATCACAGTATTACAGAAATCATATATAGTAACAACAGCACACATCTTGAAACAAATTTACATCTACTTTTACAAACTTTTTGAATGAATAGGTATTTCAACACACATCAAATCCAAATTCTTTCAAAATAATGAATATGTCAAAGCAGTGGTAAAATTATAAAATGAAGTTTAAAGAGAAGAAACAATAGTTACAAGGCAATACAAAGTTATAGAGTAATGCCAATGATAAACAGATTCTCACTAGCAGAACTGATAATGAGCCATAAAATAAGAATGTCCATCTCAATAATTAAATTGAAGTTATATCTGAGAACATCTGACATTAACAGCTTATGGAAGAAGGAAACAGAAGAATTTTTAAACAGAAATTGAATTATGACTGACAATATGGAGTAAAAGATCTTAGAATTATATCTTGGAACAAATTTCAAAAAAGAATATATAAAGTATAACCATTTTTGGAATATGCATTTTTTTGGTGGAACTGATTCATAATTCAAACCATGGTACAGTACTTCATTCTAATAGAATGAGTGCAATTTTGAAATGCTATTCGAAATAAATGATGAAGAAAAAGAACAAGAAAATAACCACAACAAGCATAATGAAAATAAAATTAATGTAAAAATAAAATTTAGCAATAATAACCAATACAGTAAAACAATTTTGTCAATTTTCTGGAATAAAAATGTATTTTTTTATGCAGAATTGCTAATTTCCAATTTGANATATATATAATTATAATAAAGTTACAATAAATTAAGTTAATATATAATTATATATACAGTACCTAATTTATATATAATTTATATATAATTTTATGTACAGACGATACTAAACTCAATTTACCCGCCTAAACTGTCCGTAGCGTGGCGCTGGACGGCGGAAAGTAGTTCGGCTGCCCGATGACGTTATACATAATTATAGGAGTTTTTTTTTTTACCGTTGTTTACGGATACCGCCACAATTTTTTCGCCGTCTTATAGAATTGTAATTAAAAGAACCCGTCTTATAGGGGGATCTACTGTACTTACATGTTTTTGTTTTTTTTTAATGTGTCTTTAGCCCATTTAAATATCTATAAACACAATATTTTCTACATAGAAATTTCTAGTATGGATTTTTTATTTACCGAATTACTGGTGAAATTTACCGGTAAGTTTACCGAATGTGTTTTTGCCAATTTATCGGTTAACCGGTAAATCGGTAAACCGGTATACAATCCCTACTTGTAACATATAGTTAGAGACCTTTTTCTAAAACAAATTACTGCTAGTATGCATAGAGGATGACTAAGAAATAAAGTTACCTTTTAGGAAAAATGTAACAATAGCTAAAAAAAAAAAAAACAGTATTTAATACTATTATTTATTTTTTCTTTATAAATGCATGTACTTATAACGAAAAAATAGATAAATAGTAGTATTGTAGCATTTGTATTATTTTCCAAATGTTTTATTTATCTCAATTTGTACTTTCCTACCTTTTGTTTAAGATTTGTTTAGTGTCAGTTGTCAAATGGTATCCTTTTAGAGACCACATGTTCTACCTTTCTCTTTCAAAATGTCATTAATGTTTTTCTGTACTTTATTTTTTGGCAAGAAATTTATACTTTATTTTTTGGCAATATCAATTTTGCAATATTTTTCATTGATATTGATTGTTTCCATTATAGGATTGTCTGTAAATTATATAATGCAATTTTTAAACTTTTTAACTACTATCCCAGCCTCTATAATGCCATCACACATACCCATCCCCAAAAGTACGTAATGCATATTCTTGATCAACTCTTTTAATTGTACTAAGGAAAAATACAGGATACTAAACAAACATTACATTATTATATTAATTACACGTGTAATGTATAAAGTGATGACAAGCATTATGGTGTAGTAATCGCTTGTCATTTCTGTATATAAAATTAAATTGTCAGTTATGAAGCCTTTGTTTATAAGCTTCTAGAATATTCCATCACCCGTTATTGCCTGGAGGGACAATAAACCCAGAGGGGAAGCAAGAGAGAGTATATAGTGACTCATGGTTGAGAGAGTATTTCTTTTATTTTCAGTGCTATTATGGGAAGAACGTGAAGGTGACCAGCAATGAGACTGTGCAAAGGAAAAGTTATGAAAGCCTATGGAATAATGGACTCTGCTCCAAACAATGAAGTTTTCCTGACCAGGAGAAAACTGCAACATGAATTGAGTAAACACTCACATACTAGCACCTCCTCTCCCTTGTATTTTTAATTGTTTATTGATGGTAGGATTGTCATGTAAGAAAATTCGTGGATTAGACTAATATGTAATACATAATATAAAAAGACAAAATGTCTGAGTGTAACAAGAACCTAAAGCATTGTAATATTTGAATACCCTCTGAATATTGTGTATGTTCAACTTAACGTTAACTCAACTTTGTGTTGAGAAAATAAAAACTTACAATGGTTTGATATGTAACATTTTAGAAACAAAAATGAATCACTCTGTTAACCAAGGGTTGAGAAACTCTAGTATTAATTAATGTAAATTTCTGTAAATATCTCCATTCCCTCGTAACATATTATTACCTGCATACCCACCCATCCAAATCTGTATTATTTAAGTTATGTACAGTACTGTATAACCCCTATCAATAAAACTATCATTTTCAAATTAGATTAATTTTTACTGAAGTTTGTTTTCACTTTACTAAATGTACCATACATTAATGTATTACAAATATTAACAATTTAAAAATTATAGATTTAGGTTTGATTATTATTAAATGTGTAAACAGTAAATTTCATTTAAAGTTAAACTCACCTTCAATACTTCTATTGCCAAAAGCACTTTCCGGAAATATTGCTCGTAAATAAGTAATACTAGATACTGTAAGTGCAATCAGCTTCTTTACAAATACAGTTGATTGAGTTTCAGTTTGAATTTCATTAGGAAATGTAGCAGTCCACTGAAATAGAGTATTAATTTACTATGATTAAATCATTATTTTAAAGAGATTCACAGATAGGTTAGGCTAGGTTAGATTAGTGTGCAGTATACAGCGCAGCATAACTAGGGGAGAGTGGTCCACCACAGATGACACTTTTGGTCTACTGCAACAAAAATAAAATTTTTGTTAATCAGGGTACTAGAAAGATATAAGACACACACACAGTTTTGTTTTTCCATAAAAACACTGCTTATTGTCAAAAATTTCCAACAACAATAAGGACTTTGTACCATTGAAAACTGCCTTATTGACCATAATACCTATTTAAGCACCTAGTTTTGCTTAATTAATAAGAACACTGGTAACAGTCCATGTCCTAATTTTTTCTGAGGTTTTTCTCTCATATGGCTATACACTGTTTTCACTTTCTATGTTTAATATGTACAGTAGACTCTTGCTAAAGTGGCCATTCCTTGCATGAAGGAATGCTGGATTATTGAAAGTGCCAGATTACTGAGCTATAAAAGATATGTTTAATTTTTTATTAATTAAACTTAATATCTCTAGTACACATGTCTAAAAAACAATAAGAGACAAGTATTTGTGCACAGTAAAAAAAATTTAAAATATTATACAGCACAATTGAAACGTTACATCTTCTACTCAGTGTAATCACTTCAAAAAATGTCACAAACTTTTATTTGCTTTACTAAAGATGCTCGTCCATGGCATGCTTTGTTACAGAATCACTTTACAGGCATTACATCGGTACTGCATGTGTCTGGTTGTTGTATTGTGCTGTAAGAAAATGTTGGTTTTGGTGCTAGCAATGTGAGAAATCTTCATTCCCTCTGCTTGTGATGTCTTCTTCCTCATCACTTTAATCCTGCAAACTTTTTATTTTGTCATCTGTTAAAGCCTGGTCTAATTCATAATATTCCTCATTTAACCAATTAGTAATGTCCTCTTCATCAACTTCTTCTCCTAGAAGCTTGTGGAACATATCAATGAACACAGCATCTGGAAATGATTCTGAATTGACTGACTCACTATCACTTGATGCGGACTCCAACTCAGTGTCAATTGAAGGTCATGTTTTTTTCCAACACTTCACTATTGTAGCACTTTCAACAATGTCCTATGCTTCTGTTGTTTAGAAAACAACATTATGCATGTTGATCACTTTCCACACCTTTGGCAAAGCTTCGGTAGAATCATTTTCACATTCATCCAATAGGGAGACAAGAATTGCATGTTGATAGCAACGCTTAACTGATTCCAAAATTCCCTGATCCATAGGTTAGATTAAGCTGCTACATTTGATGGAATAATGTTTGAAAAAAAGGTATTCATGTAACCAGCTACTCCTGAAGCTTGTTGGCATCCTGAGAAAAAGCAAAGAAATCATACCCAGCCATTTCATTCATTAGAAAAGATCTGACAAATCTGAATCTGTCCTCAATAAGAATCCTATTATACAAAGTTTGTTCCAAAGGTTGAAAATATCACAAGCTATTGTGGGACAGATCATTCATGAGAATCTTGAGATTGAGCACAGGCACAAAGTATACGGAGATTATTTCAAGTTGACTGTGTCAAAGAACACTTTACCAATGCAAGAAAGTTGTACAAAGAATATCTGGTAGCTGAGGTGACACTGGGTAGTCACACTATATAAATCTTGGGTGTACATGGGTGCCACAAACAGCTCATATATTACCTAATTTCAGAGACAAGTCAGAAGAATGACTGAGAGCATTATCAATTAGGAGGATGGCTTTTAACAGAAGTTTCTTTTCCTTCAGTTCTTACTTCACAGCTGATACAAATTTATCATGGAAATGCAAAGAAAATTTCTGAGTCCTTTCACATTTTCTTTTGAACACAATAATCTACTGTTGGTGTACTCATCTCATTGTGCTAAAAACATCATGGCTGTTGGACTTTTCAAATCATCAGGAAATGAAGTTTATGGCTCTCATTGGCATTACAACATGTCATCAGTGTGATGTGTTGTTTTTGTTGTTTATACCCACAAGTTTCCTTTTCATTCTTGTCAGCAAGGGTTGACAAGAAAAATGCTCCCTTCAAAAAGAAGGGAGAATTTTGAAAAAGAGACCAGTCGCATCAGCATTGTACACTGCAGGAGGAGTTAGTTCTTCCTTTACCATGTTCACCAGCTTCTTTTTAAAACTTCCATATCTTTTTTCATTTGCTGACTGACTCTCCGTAGTGACTGTCAACTGCCACACACCATGTCTTTTCTTCCAGTTTGATAGCAGCCATCACATGCTATAAACAGTTAACTGCTGCCAACTTCTTGGTTAAATGGCACTGCTTTTTCTTTGATTATTGGACCATTGACAAGTAGTTCTTTACTATGTTATATATGAACCATTTGTAAACAACTGCAAAAGTTTATCATTCTCATCCTTTTGCATATCTTTTTGTTTTCCAATTCACTGTCCATATGGTTGGTGTACTGTTGAATTTAATTCTCTTTCATCATTATGTCATAAACAGTGACATGACTGTTGTACTCGGTAGCAATGGATTTTTGGGAACAATCCTGTTTTAACACCTCCAATATTTCCAATTTCTGCACGAGTGCTAACATAACATATTTTCTTTTTGAAGCCATAACTGAAGGTTACCATGCCAAGTAGTCAACCACTTTCCACACTTCAAAATCAAAACCAATCATCAGATGTAAAATATCAGTTTTAGTTTTGATAAGTGGCATCACACTGGATGGCCATCCACATAACACTCTCCATTTATATCACAACCAGAGACTGGATAATTGAGAGACCAGATTAGCAAGCGTCTACTGTATTATTATGTATTTTTCATGGAACAGGAAACTCAAGCATCACTCTGGGCAGCACAAACCCTAGCTATGCCACTGGATTTATACACACACAATCTAAATATTCAAAAGCTATAACCTGAAATAAACAATTATTTCATTCAAAAACTAATAAAATATATTTTCCTTTGGAAACAATATGATTTTTTTGTACAGAGGGTTGAGTCAGTTAATATTGAACAATTTGTAATGCAAATATCAATCAAATTACATGCACTTGTTAGAATCAGTCAACATTCTAGAATTTTCTGTTGGTAGTATTGCTGAAAAATACCATAATTATGACAACAAAAATAACAGAATATTGAGGTGTAAACTTTCATAATTGATGCCAAATATAGCTTTTCCCATGATAGTAAAATAACATTTGAAAAAAGGTATTCACATAACCAGCTACCTTTTGAAGCTTGTTGGCATCCTGAGAAAAAGCAAAGAAATCATACCCAGCCATTTCATTCATTAGAAAAGATCTGACAAATCTGAATCTGTCCTCAATAAGAATCCTATTATACAAAGTTTGTTCCAAAGGTTGAAAATATCACAAGCTATTGTGGGACAGATCATTCATGAGAATCTTGAGATTGCGCATAGGCACAAAGTATACCAAACACTATTTCAAGTTGACCGTGTCAGAGAACACTTTACCAATGCAAGAAAGTTGTACAAAGAATATCTGGTAGCTGAGGTGACACTGGGTAGTCACACCATATAAATCTTGGTTGTACATGTGTGACAGAAACAAGTAACAATCAATTTACTACAGGGAAAAATGACAATGAATCATTCTAATTTTGTCAATCAGTACCAGTGCCGAAACTAGCCATTCCTGTGCCCTGTGCAAGAATTTGCATTTAGGCCCCTTAATTAATTACGTCTAGGAAAATAGTAAAACAAATACAAGCATTTTCGGTCCCCCTTCCAAGTGGGCCCTGTGCGAGTGCACCTGTTCCACCTGTCTAGTTACAGCACTGGTCAGTACAGAGAGCATTTTCTAAAGCAGTGTTTTTCAACCTGTGGGTCGCGACCCCCAGGGGGGTCGCAAAGCCTTACACAGGAGGTCGCGGGTAAAAGAAAAAAGCAAGTGTTTGTAGATCCTACACTACAATAAAAAAAAACTACAATCTCAGTGAGAAGGCTGTGCCTGTTTATTTTACAATACAATTGGTTTTTTGATCGATATTTAGGTCTCAACAGAAAAACTTAAATACGTAGTTTTTAAAATCACTGATATAATTTTAATATAGCCCTGGGGGGTCGCCAGGATTTTTTAACTTGTAAAGGGGTCGCTTATTGAAGAAGGTTGAAAAACACTGTTCTAAAGGAATTTATAATAGCAGCTGATTATTGTGTCCATAGCAAACTGAACATCATTCATTGGATAAAATATGAAGATAAACATAGCCTGCTTTCAGAACAATATTATGAACCCACTATCCAACCTGGAAATTCCACACATTTATGGGATGGAAGCATTAAAAATATGGATCTTTATAGACAAAGCATCTAGTCATGCTATAAAATCTACACTAGGAAAGCAGTTGAGACTGACATCAGTATGATCTGTTTTTCACCCATCTTTGTTAAATCTCCAGATTCCTCACTAATGAATTTCTGCAGCTTTGTATGCTAAAAAGGAACTCTCAAAAAGATGTCCCATGACTGTTACAGCTCTGTATAAATCATACCAGGAGGTTGGCACCTCTGCAACAGAGATTCTGGAAACTGCAGTAGAAACTTCATTACAGATAGTTCTGAATTGACAACATAGCTAATGGTGGAAGAACAAACAGCACAGGAACATCCACAGAGCTTAGAAAATGTCTAAAATTAACTGACTCAACCCTCTATATTTCTCAAAGCTCAAGAATTTTATTACTATATATTTTACTAAAGTTTAAAATATTTAACATAAATATACTTTTTCAATAAATCAGGTAGATTAGATTAAACAAATCACTTTACTAAAATTTAGATATGGCAGGTATCCAGCTTTAAGTAAAATATCCTATTATTTATAGTTCTAAAATTTATCTTCTATTTCATACTTATAAAAATCCAGTATTTTTACAAAGACCATCTAGAAACTATCATTTTTGTTACATTAGTAAACTTTCATTCTATCAATGAGATTTTGTTTACTTTTTCTGCCCTGTGAGTACTAAGAGAGCCTTTCTTCAAGACCCATAATGAAATTGGCCAGCCAACAGTGGGAGCAGCAAGGTAGTAACGGCCAGCGTAGCTAGGAAAGGACACCTATAAAATTTCGTTGGGTTTCTGACCCAGACTCTAATCCAGATCCCTCATAGCATCAGGCTGATGACTTTGGTTTATAGACAATGTTTGTGATAAAAGTACTTAAATTTTTTTGCAAAAAAATTTAAGTATCTATATATAAACCAAAAAACAAATTTTTAATATACTGTATATACCGGTATAATACCGCAAACAATACACATTTAACTATGGGTAACAGTTTGAGGAAATGCAAGCATTTTTGATCTTAACTCTCTTCATTTGTAAAGCTTATATCCTTTTATGCCTGTAGATGACCCAGTAACCAGGTTAAAAATGCTTTCCAAAACTGTTACAACTGTTAATAGTGTACTGCTTAATTTATTAAATTAATTGCAATGGTTACTTTGACTTTATATATATATATATGCTTCCCAATACAAATAAAAAAATAAAAAAATATTACATCCACTTCATACTTTAATCTGGAATAAATTTTATAATATATGAACAAATGAAGTTTAATTCACTTAAATTCAATTATGGTATATTTACTTTAGACAGTTTTATTCAGAGAATGAGTAACTAAGTAATGGTATAGAAAACTAGAATAAAATTTTGTATATGTGAATAAATTTGATTCATTTTTTTATTTTGATCATATTATAAACAAATGATAAATATATGCTTTTATTTGTTTTTATATTTTTCTAACAATTATAAAAAATCGAACTATTAAAGTTTGAATTCCTGCATAATTAAACATTAAGTAATGAGATTTGGTTAAATGTTAAAGATATACAATTAACATCATACAATTAAATAATTAATGTCATTTAATTATGAAAATTTTTACTCTTTAGAATTAAAGAAAATACTGAACAAATATATTTAAGCGATTTTGTTCATTTCTATTAAAACTGAATGTATTACTTTATTAATTAATATTTTAAAACTCGTTCTCAAATACAAATTTCTAACTGAAAATGCAAATAGCAAGTCACTCGCACTATATGTTTCAGCGATTACCATATTATTACCATACTGGAACAGAATGGGAGAATTAAGCCATTCAACAGTTGATAAATTTGTTCAGATAATTAAAAATTTAATAATAGAACCCAACTGTTGCAAAAACTTTCTATCCTTTCCACCATTAAAAAACTGTTTCTTATAAGTTTATATTTAAAACAAATTAATTAATTTTAGTAAATGTATATTGAATAATTTCATATACTGCATTAAATTTATATACTTTAAACCTTCATAATAAATGATAAATCTAAAAAGATATATTGCATAAGATGCGTGTTTAGATTGATACAAGTTTTTTAAGACTACGTAATCTTTAATTAATAGATAAATAAGATCTAACTGGAGAATAAGAAACAAAAGAAAGACTGCATCTTGTAAATCCAGCAGTATAGTTAATAATTTAAGACGTTTTCGACCTAATTTCATACATATTCGACAACCGAGGAAGACCTAACGATTATCCAAGCAGCAAAATTTGAACAAAAAAGAACGTAATTGAATTTAAAGTAAAAAACAGCACACATAAAATCTAAATTAAAATAAAAAATAATCGACAATAAACATTAAATTAATAAATGAAAGTTGTGCCGTATCGAAAATTTGTCCAAGTTAGTCCTGGTAAAGTGACTTCTAGGCCGTTCGGTTGCTAAAATGTTTTCATCGCGTAGTTAATTTAATTAACACAGTTGTTTCTGTCAACTTTCTATATCTCTGACACTTCCAAGTTTAAAGGAATTAGGTACTGTACAACTCAAGTGGGACGAAGCTGAAATTGTTAGATCCGTCAACGACCTTAATGCGGACACGTGGAAGTCACTTTACGACGTTTTCGATATGGCACAACTTTCATTTATTAATTCAATGTTTATTATCGATTATTTTTTTATTTTAATTTAGTAATTTCGATTTAAATTTTATATGTTCTATTCTATATTCTAAATTCATTTATATTATTTTTTCTTCAAATTTTTGATGGTTCGATAACCCTTAGGTCTTATTAATTAAAACTTATACTGTATTGCTGGAGTTTTTTTATGGTGCGAATTTTAATTTTAAAAAAATGTGAGAAAAGTAACGAAAATGATGAAAATTCTTTAAATAAAATGAATATATTTTTATTAACTTATACAGTGGGTGATCGGTTAACGAACAGTTCGGATAACGAACACTTTCGCGAAAGATTTTTATGATCGGACAACGAACGCTTTACTGAACAAACATAAAAACAAGCGACGGAAAATAACGAATACCGATTGATTTTCCGTCGTCTTCGGGTAACAATTCGAAACCCTTCGGAGCGCGTGAGACGTCAACATCGACGCTCAACCCGATACTGATCGGATAGTATTCCTTATAATTTTGAAACTCTCCCTTGTAATTCCAGCGTTTTGTTTATCTTTCTGACAAATAATTTTTTATAGTATTCGAGAGACTGTCGGACGGGCACTCGTTAAGTTTGCGTCGGGGTTTATTTACGACAGGTGAAAGTTTAAGTGTCTCATCGGATATTCGTTAACGTTTTAATACCAAATTTCGAATTTCATCCGGGCCTCGCATTTAAATCGTTTTTGTGGGCTAGTCGATTTCTGTTCTCTGAATTTTTGTAAGTGTTTTTCTGAACTTTTTATTTAAAAAAGAAACTGATAATATTGTGGAGCCTAAAAGGAGGAATGTCGAGAACTGCGCTCACTGTAGAAACCGAGTAAGAGATAATAGCCGAGGTAGAACGTGGGCGCGAGATGTCTGATGCTGCTAGGTAGTATGGCTCGAACGGGTCTACACTAGTCACAATCTTAGCTATGAAAGATATATCGAGAAGTCTTGAGCTGCTAATGGAGTAATGAAAATCACATCTGAGAAATAAAGAGCATTTTAGAGCTCATAATGGAACCCGAAATTGATCTGATGACAGAAGAACTCCGAGAACTCTCAAATGAAGAATACCAAGAAACTCGCGAGATGTGTTTTCTTTTGAAAAAGAGGAAGACGAAAGAGGACCAATGTCGACATCTGCTACTAAAGATCTTTTGAAGAAATGGGAGGATATCAGAACAATCAGATAGTATTCATCCAATCATCCAAGTGGCATCCAAACCAGAATAAGGTTAACGGGGTTGGGGATCTCTACAATTACAATACTATTAATTACTTCTGAAAAATCCCGAAGAAAAGAGAAAAGCAATCGACATTGGACAGATTCTTTAACCCCCATAAACGGAAAAAACATGACTAAAAAAATGTAAGACTGCATATATATGTACTAGCTGTTACCCGCGGCTTTGCCCGCGAGAATTTTGCAATTTGATAGAAATAGCCCTCACTCGAGCCCCAAATTTATAAAATTACTCGCGTTACGCATACCCTTTATTGCTGAGAATCTTCTAACGCAATCGAACGTTTTCAATTTGATCAATTCTGTAGAACGTTTCCAATCGTTCTATAATCGAACCAATACGCAATAACAAATTCGAATTTAAAACGGTTCGAACATTTGATAAAAAATCGTAACACGTAAATATTGTACGTTTGGAAATTACGTTATTACCACCAAAAATAAAAATCCCATCTAAAATAGTAAAGTAGAAGCCGTTCTTCCGGTTAAGCCTTAACGCTCCCCCTCTTCCCCCGCGGAAGAATTTCGAAAAATCCCTTCTTAGCGCGCGTTTTCGCGACGTACCCTAACTGTATACCAAATTTCACCTCTTTAGGTTTAGCGGTTTGCTGTGGGCATGATGAATCAGTGACTCACTCAGTCAAGTAATTTTATATATTTAGATTTTAACTATTACATATAAATAAACGTAGTAAAAAAGTATATATTTTTTTTATTTTTCGGGGTCTAGAACGAATTAATGAAATTCCCATAAAAACCTATGGTAAATCGATAATCGGTTAACGAACAATTCGGATAACGAACAAAGTCTTGGAACGGGATTATGTTCGTTGATCGATCACCCACTGTATATGGATTTATCCGCAGTTACATTCTCGAAACAAACTCGTAATTCTCATATTTTAATGGATACGAGAAAGCGCAATTTCCAAACCCACTCTTTCTAATTTAATTAAATTTTGATTCGATTTTTTGGACCGGAATAAATATCGGAACGAATTACGCCGTAGGTCTCGTTTTACGACGGTCGGTTTCACTATTCCCGTTTTAACGACGGGTAGGAATTTCTAAAGTTGCGGTAAATAGCAAATTTAAGCGGAAGATGTTTTAGTCGGGCATCCGCTTGCCATATTGTGTAATTTAAAGTATATACCAGTCGACTCCCCATAACAGTGTTGATTATTTCGTTTTATATGAATTCCATGTTGTACGAGTCACTTAGATTTTACAAATACGTGAGCCGTTCACAGTCCGGCTGATGTATTTGTAAAATCTAATTTATTCATACAACATGGAATTCATATAAAACGGAATAATCAACACTGTTATAGGGGGGTCGACTTGTATTGGGAAACATAAGTTCAATTTACCATCGATTACTTTTCGTCGTCGTAAAGCGAGTAAAAGAGTGTGTGGTTTTTTTATTTACTTTTCCCTAGTTAGATCGAATTTGAATGGAAATATTCCATTTTAAGCGATTAAATTCTTATTATTATATAAATAAATAAGAAATATATTTACGTCGGAAGCGGCCGCGGGCTTCATCTTCTGAGCGACGCAGCTCATGTCGCAACTAACTTCGTATAAACGCTTAATTTTCCTACAAATAGCAAAATTAAATAGAAAAAAAAAGCCTATTAATTTAAAGCCTAAGTTTAAAACTTCCGATAATTGTCAATTCGAAAATACAACTAACCTTATTCCAAAGTCGTCTGTTCTTTTTAAACCGCCATCTGTTGGCCAATATATTGGCGAGATATTACGGTATAGTACTTACTAGATAATAATATTTTATTGCTACTTTAATTATCTCGCTATTTATAATTTACGCTTTTATATATTTTTCTGGACGTTAAAATAACCCTTTTGTCTTCTTCGCCTTATATTCCGTAGCTTTGAGATTTGATCGAACGATTCTTTTCAATTACAATTTAAATTATTATAATGATCGAATCGAGGAATAATTTAAATTTATTAAATAAGGCAAACTAGCGAGAAAACAATTTTTAAATATTTTCATAGATATCTAAAATAGTTGGCCGCGGCCGCCTTATCCCGTGACGTAAGCAAATTTGAAAATTTATTTCTTATTCCGTTCTTTACTTTAAAACGAGTTAAACTTCGATCGATCGAACTCGATTTCGGAGCGATAATGGTGAATCAAACGCAATGTTTGAGAATTTGCGTGTTTCTGTTTAGCGCCGTCAATTGGGTACGAAAGAGTAACTCGAATTTATAGACGTAACGGCGGAGAACGGTTTAAAAATTTACTTATTTGCAGTCGGTCTCCATCGTGGTTCTATTCTACTACGCCCTAACACAATCGGACGACGATATTATAGAAGTTATGGTGAACAACATTTCGTATCGCCATTCTTTCGTACTCTTGCTGTCCTGCTCCATTCTCGTGACTTTTTTCGGAGTGATCGGTTGCTGGGGCGCTTTGGATATCGAACGCGTCGCTCTCTGCTTGGTGGGTATAATATTCGAAATTCGAGTGGCGAAACTCTTAAAACTGGACATTTTATACGGTTTCTTACAGTACACCGTCGCCTCCATTCTTATAATCGCTTTGCAGATTTTGACGTTGATTTTACTCTTCGATTGGAAGAAAACAGTGAGTAATTTTAGTGGCAAATATTACGGTAATGAGTAAGTTAGTAGCATTTTGCTTAGTGTTACGATGCGTCGAGCGGTGAAATTCCGCCCCTCTTCGTAACGCGCGAGTATGAGGAGAAGCAAACTTCGTCGGCAATCGGGGTTCTCCTTCCGCTATTCGTCGCGACAATAATTGGTAAAATTGACAATAAATTCTAAATATTCCAAGATCGTTAAGTCCTAAAGCTCTTACGAGACGGCCTCAGCTTTTATTTTCCTCCAGATAAGGAGAAAAATGAGGATGTCAAACTCGGTACTTTGTTTCAGTTAGAAGGTGACATAAAAAACTTCACCAGAGCGACGGTAACTCGCTATTACTCCGAAGAAAAAAGTACAGTCTCGTCTAAAGCTATGGACGTGACCCAAAGAAACGTAAGTCGAGAAGCGAATTAGTCGGGAAAAAATGGCGCCGGATGGTGAATTAACCGGGAAAAATGACACGGATTTTTCAATTTCAGTTCGAATGTTGCGGAGAACGGGACTACCTGGACTGGGTGGGATCGAAGTGGTGGAGAGAAGAAAGAAGAAGAAACGGCACGGCGGTAGTACCCCTTAGTTGTTGCGTCAGAGATAACTTCGACGCGTGTAACACGGGATTGCCTCCTTACAGAGACGTCTTCTTCAAATTAGAAATATACATTTACGTAAGTGTTCGGTATTCCGCCGTTCTTCCGCTTTGGCTTACTTCGTTACACTTTACAGGGATGTTCGCCCCTGCTGATCAAATGGGCAGAAATCAAACAGACTCTATTCGTGCTGCTGAGCAGTACCTTTGTCATTTTGTTTTCTGGAGGAATCGTCTGCACAATTTATCTCATGTGGATGGTGCGCTGAGTATTCGCAATTAAACGTTTCGTCTTTTTATTTGTGTTACGTCCTCCGGGTTAATCAGAATGCTACTTTTAGCGAAACGCAGAGATCAAAGCCTGTTGCTTCTCGCTCCGGACGATCGATAACTCGCTCCAAAGTTAGCCTAACGAGATCAACGGAAACACTAGTTACGTCATCGACGGACTTGTTTCCTTTATTCTCCCTACACAAACCTCGCCGTTTGATTTTACAATTAGTGTGTCTCGTAAACAGGCGTCGAGTCAAATACGTACTGTGCAGGGGTTTATAACGAAATACACACCTTTCACTACCGAAATGGCCGTTTTTAGTGTCTTCGAGTCCGGATCTCTAATTTATAATTGAAATTTCATTTTGTTCGATTCTGCTATAAGTAACGAGGCGTTTCTCGTCGATGGGAGCTGGGAAATGCCCTCTCCACCTTGTTTTTTCCTCTTCTTTTTCAATTTGTTAGTCTTTGTAAACAAATAGCTAAAAATTAAAGTGTAATTGAATTTCAAACCGGAATACAGATTCGGACTTCATAAATAAATTAAGGATAAAGTAAATTAATGCCCGGGGTAAAGTAACCGTGACGTCACGACAAGCGGGGTGTTAGGGAGGGAACTCGCGATTCCTCTTCCGGTCCGAGAAGGACGCGAGATGCACTTAAGCGAAATGATTTATGGAAGCGAATGCATTATTAAAGCGCAACCCGCGCTGGCACTCGCCCGCCATATTTTATTAATGCCCAATTTTCGGAATTCGATGTTTTTTAATATCGAATACGAGTAAACACTCATTCGAATTCGTGCCTCGCGCACCCGGGAGACGAGAAAGCGAGGGAGGAAGCGCGATTGTCGACGACGAGAAGCCCATGGGCGAAAATCGAAGTGGGTGGAGAAGGGAGATAAGGCGGAGATGCGGTCACAATACCGTCGGGCACTTCCCGCGCGCGGTAATTATACGCCGAGATGATGAATGCGTGTGAATATTGGCCGCTCGTGTTTACGTCTCTGACCCAATATTAAACAATTTTTCACTTTTAAAAAAGGAAGATTAAGTGTTTGGTTTCCCTCCCGCTTCGGCTTATTAAATAGGCTCTCGTCCGTCCCGTTATTGTTTGCGTGATTTACTTTACCTTTAATAGATTCTTTCTTTAAAACCCGCGGGCGTCGAAAGGGCCGAGAGCGAGGAGACAAAACGGCTACCGCCACGGTCCTCCTCACCCCTTTCCCACCCTCCGCAACAGAAGACTTTCCCCCATTCCCCTTTCCGGGAGGAATTGGAAAGGAACCGGAAGTTGCGTAACGCGTTCGGGCGAGCGAGAAACGGTGTTTACTCGGTCGTTAGGAAATTTTGTTGACTAGAAACGAGAGAAAAGTTCTGTTAATCCTTTGAACCCGGTAATCCTCTGAAAATACATTTTAGCTATTAATTCGGGATGAATAATTATTGGATTATTTTTCATTTTACTACTTAAAACACAAACCACTTCGGCAAATTTTGATTCTCCATTAATAAAAACGAAGAAAATTCACAGACGTCATTTCCGTCTGGTCGTACCTAAAACGTCACCCTTTTACTTACGACTCGGAATAAGGGAATCGCTCGCTCGAGGCGAGTAAACTACGAGACACTTCGAACCCGTGTCCTGGAATATTGAGAACGGTCACCCCCCTTCGTCACGGACCAAGTTTCCTGGGAATCTAATTAATTTCTAATCTTTCCCCGTCTATTTTCGTCATCGTAATTGCCCGTAAACCAAAATGCGCGTGCGGAGAATCGTCGACGTTGCACTCGTAACCTTTAACAATGGTTAAATAAAGCGTAAAGACGGGAAGTTTACAAAATCGTTTGAAAGGTGAAGAACGTGGCTTTAAGTTTCTACCTTTCAAAATTTGCCATTTGCTCTCGGAATGCTTTGTTACGTGGAGCGCGCGTGCGATCATCCATCCCCTCTATTTCCTCCGAATTTCGCTCACTTTAAGAGCATCGAGAGCTACGAAAATGCTTTGTTTTTCCTTTCTGAAAGTTTCTAAAATTTTCTCTTCAAACTTCTAATCCGGTAATAGCTAATTTTCGCCCCTTCTATAAAACGCGGGGATATTTCTGTAAAACGGAAAGTGCGAGAAAGGGTGGATAATCGGAGAAGAGGTTCCCCTACCGAATTACCGAGAACGAGTCTTCCTCCTACACGTACATTATTAATTATTACGATCGGCGCCGCGCGTACACTTCACGCAATCTTCACGGTCTCGAATTAACATAAAAAAGATGGGACATCGATAGGCTAAAGACGGTTACGTCACGGGCGCACTCCAATAGACAGAGGAGCGCGTGGCGCACGTGATCCGAATATAGATATATATAAAGAGTGCGGGTGCCACCCCGATACTGTCGAAGCGGCCCAGTCGCGCTATACCGGACTCACCTTTCGTTTGGAATCAGGTAAGAATTTGTAATCGTTATAAGGGGGTGGATCTCGCGACACGTTCGACCATGCGGGTATCATGCGGGTCTCGTTTCAGGGTCGCGTCCTATATTCTGCCGAAAACTCCGACTCTTCTCCGTTCGAAGTTACTTCTACACCGAATCAAAGCCAACTGTGTTAATAGTTTCGCTACGAACACGCGAAACGCTGTCAGGAATGGTAAATACGAGTTACGGATGAGGGTTCGAACCCACTCCTCTTACGTGGATCGCATAGAAATCGAATCCGAAAGGTAATCTTTAAAGAACGTTAGGAAAATCCGAGAGACAAGACGTGCGGGATGTATTCCCCTTTAGTAAGAGTGTACTGTAGAGGAACACGGGCCCCGATTACGATTAACGTCGAAGAAATCGACTAACGAATTCTTAAGATAGGTTCTTTGGAAGTTCGTTTCGATCCATCCGATGATTGGATGTGCTACTTGCGGTGTTTCGCCATGTTTCTGAAGAAACTGATGAATAAATGGGGACGAAACTCCTAACACATTCGCGGGAAATGGCGTTAGTTGGGACGAGATTCGAACTCGGATCCCTTCGTCCTCATCCTTTGGTTGGAGATCCGTAGGAGACTTAGAAAGACATTAGAAACTGCAACTAACGGCAGAGCCGCATCGATTGCAAAAGATAAACAAATATATTTTCGAAGCCTGTTTATCGGGACGATAAATTCCCAAACACACAAAGAGGCGCACGCATTAATCCCCGTTCGGACTTCAATTAGGACGAATCGGAATGACGAGAGGGGGGGGGAGATTTTAACCGTCTTCGAATTCGAACCCCACCCTTTGCCGCCGGGATCTCCCTAAGAAAGATTTCGAAGATAATCCCGGCTTCTCGTTTAGTCATTTTACGACGGGGTGGCGGCCCCCGCCCAATCGGACGCGTACGAGTGACGTACCGGAAGGGGAAGGAAGCGGTCTTTCCGGTGACATCATCACCCGCGGCTCTCGATTATTACTGGAAACGAATTTCCGTCTCATTCAATCGGACGAATGGAAGTCGGTAATGGCCCTCCCCTTTCCTTCTCCCCGGGAGGGAAACAGATGGGAGTTGTAAATCGGAAAGGGCCCGATTAAGAAGCGGACGACCCCTTCCGTTTAATTGGAAAAACGGAGATTAAAAAGTCAACGTCTTCTTTCGACTCTACTCGGGGGCATCCGAGAGAAGATGAAGAACAGAGACGCAATTAGAGACAAAGCGGTTATTTTTCTTGTAATTTCGACATAAATACTCTGTGTTTGTCTCTGGGAATTCATTTTTCCGAATAATTGGGAATCACTCCTTTTACGCGACCCCGCGTTAAAGAAGTGGGCGGAATCGGGAGGCCTGGGACAGGCGGATCGGCTCCAAAGACAAAAATGGAGAGGGTCTCGTTTGTGTTCTTTCCAGCAAGGGTCGAGTGTATTTTGCGGAGGGGGAGCGCCGAAACGAAATAAAAACCAGTCTCTTCGGATTCGACGAAAGAGGTCGATTAATTCCGACGGAGATGATAAATGGAAGTCGGGTTAATCCCTGTCTTTTGTCCCCATCGGACGAAAGGGCCTGGTCTAAAGAAGAGGCCCTTTTTTCTTAGCAGACGCCAGTCTTTTGGGGGAAAGTGGAGAGTACATCCGAGGGTTCGCGCGTGGCGGGGGCCCGCTGGGCCGAAACGACTTTTAATAACGAACGGAGTGAGGGGAGGAGTGAGGCGCGGTAATCCGACGTCGTTGGCAAGACAAAGAACGTCCATTTATCGTAATTTAGACGCAAATCCGGAAACAAAAGCCGGTTAATAAAGAAGAGGCGCCGAAGAGTGAGGAGATCGTCTTTAATTAAAATTCTGCGGCGGGCCTCCCCGTCGGAAACCCGAGCTACGCGCGTCGGGCCCGCCCCATCACGCGGGCCTGGAAGAGATAGAAACGTATAAAAGGGCCTTTGTCTTTGCAGCCTAGACATGAGGTGGACCGGGCGGATGTGCTTGCTGCTCTGTTACGTCGTCACCGTGCACGCTCTCGACTGCAGGTAAGTCACGTTCCGCTCCTTTTCCACCCTCGCGCTCCGTCATTACGGACCGTTCGATGCGCGCCCTCAAAAGAAAGAACTACGACGGCACCTTTCGAACTGAAAATCACTGTTCTCCGAGTTGAAATTTGGACTTTTAACACCGGAAAATATTTGGGGATGTTTGAAAAGTTCGCTCTTCTTCACTACCGTAATTCAATTCCTTCACATTCGCAATTAAGGGTCTATTAGAAGAGCGCCGTCTCGTGTTTATAAGCAATCGTGAGTAAAATACATACACGCGTTGTACAGTACCGTATTTTACTTGCGGACTATAATTACACAGACGAAACTTTAAAGTGCTGTTAGTAATTGAGGAATTAATATGCAAATTTAAATAACTTGGGCAGTTTCGCGCCAGTTCTCTTTCTCATATTGTAGTAAAAATTACACGCGTTTGTCAGAATTAAAACCTATACCCCAACACTACGTGGAGGTATTTCGTAATTCTTTTTTGTTAAATTCATCGGCGAAAGAAGCGGGTCTAAAGTAGGGCACCGCGTAGAAATGAACTTAAGAATACAAGGCCCTAAACGAGAAACACGTGTCTATGGATTAAAGGATTTACCAAGGACCCCGTTCTGCCACATCTTTCTCTTTAAACAGAAAACAACGCTCGTCCTTTCCACAGTTCACCTTTGACCCTCGGATGCCAAAGATTTTCGAAGGCGCTAAAGCGGTTAGGTTTCAAAAAAAGATACTTTCGCTTTCGATCCAACTATTAAGACAAAACTCCCGAGAAACGCGGGGAGGTGGCAGAATGTAAATCCTCCTTCGTTAATAAAGAGCCCCCTTTTTTTGAAAATCACTCAACCCGGGTCATTCGTTTTCATTAAAGGTAGATCCCATTCGACGGCGCGTAATTAACGCCGGTGGTGGGTGCTAAGATACTTTCTGGCATCCTTCGGACAGGGGGAGGGAAGAAGAAGACGGGAGTAAGCGACAGAAAACATAAGCGAGTGGGAGAGGATGAATAATACAAGAGACAACCACTTAACTCCGGTCTCCATCAAACATTCATCGTCACCCGCGGCGTGGCGCGGGCGGAAGAGGTAGACCCTACCCGAAATTCGGGAGGGTTCCGATCCAGAAAAGGCGGAGCCGTATTTCATTTTTCCGAATTTCGAGCGGGCCAATCGAATTACGCGTTAGAGTGGGGTGAAACTTTCGTTACAGGTCCGTGAATAATACATGGTTTACTGGCGGAATCGAAGGCTGGCGATAACGCGCTGGTTTCGGGTGTCTTCTAGCCAGTTCCGATGCCCGGAAAGATACGAATGGGGTAACGTTATTTGGTTAATTATAAGATACGAATGGGGTAACGTTAACGTTATGGGGTAACGGCAATTACGTTATTTATGATTCCGAAATCATAAATAACGTATCACGTGATTTCGGAATTGCCGGTTAGTGCTGGTAACTGCTTTGTCTTCGCGTATTATAACAAAATTTAAATATAAATGGGAATATCGTCACTAATACAAGAATGTATTGGTGACACGTAACTAGTTCTCCCGTACCGAATGTTCATTTGCGCGAAATTTCGTATTTAGGATATAATACGCAACGGTTTGGTAATGTTCGGTAACGGAACATCTGGACACTTAATGGCTGTGTGACGACACGCGTTACAGTTAGAACCGGTCCCGGATTTAATTATAATATCGATTGTTTACGAAGTGTTAAACGCAAAAGAGATCTCGCAGCTCCGGGACCTTCTAATCTTTCGTAGACATAATTCGATCCTGGCCACTCTTCCGTAATTCTCGACATTTTCATCCCCACTAGACGACGATTTAATAAGACGGATTAACCGACTTTTAAGCCACTCTAAGTTCTAATATTTTATATTTTCTAAATGATTTTGCTATCTACTTTCTCGTTTTCTTACTTTTAATTAGCTTACTCGGAGGGGCGGATTTAAAGAATCGGGAACCCCAAATAGAACATTTGGAAGCTTTAAGGAGTTTAGAGCCGAATAATTATACGTGGCCGCTATAGATTCGCGGAACAATTTGGGGCCTCTTCGATAGAGAATTCCGAGAAGCCCTTCGATCCGTTTCCGAATAAATCCCTGGCTAGAGAGGGTCTCTCAAAGTTTTTAGTAAGGATCCCTACTTCCAAGGGTCTGCCAGAATACCTCAAACAATCGCGTGCTGAAATTTACTCGTCGCTCCTACGCACCGCATGTGTTAGAATGGCGTGGTTGAGGCGTTAACGCAGGCACCATTCGACAATACACCTTTTAGAAACATATTACCATTCTCCTATCGAATTATAATAATTTATCGGATAAGTCCGGTTGTCCGCCCGTGCGGAACAGGCGAAAATGAATAGATTTACAGAACATCGTATTCGATTTTGGCTTATCATTAATAAAAATGCGCCGTCGACAGCGCGGATCCCGCCTCATTTGTAGGCTGTCGGACTGGGTAGAAACGAAACGTGGAATAATCGAAATTGTACCTTATTGGTAGGATAAAGCCGTATATTAAATGGATAATAGGAGTTACATAAAATCTCTTTATAGAGGGCCTAGGCGTGGAGCTCTTCGGGGACCCGGAAAGAAGTATAAATGCGAGAACCTCGTTAACAATAACATACTGCATTTATTCCGTTGTATCGTATTTGTAAGAGGGGCGTTTTAGGCGACGGCTGCGAGAACTTTGGAGAACGAAAAACAATAAAAGAAACCCGATAGCTTCTTGGCAGTTTTCGGATAGGAACCTCGGAAGTTCCTTTCTTATCTTCCGCTCTTCGAGGTTTCACCCGTCTTCTTCGTCTTTCCGGCCAAGAAGCTGGCGGGTCGTTCCAATCGGAATAGGTAAACCGTCGATTAGTAATCGACGACTCGGCCGTTATTAATCGGAGACAACTAAAATAAAGGTGAATTACTTAACCCGCCATCCGAAAACGATACAGAAACGTGTACTGGCGTGGACGGCGGCATTTTACGGGTGGTGAGCTTCACCGACGACAAATAGGATCGAGTGGCGTAACGTAATCATTAGGGTTTAGAAAGAGTCGATAAAACGGGGGACAAAAAGGAAAACGAATCTTCCGCCGCTTCGATTGTTTTCCGGGAAATCTTCAGAAAAAATAATAATAAAGCTTAATTTAGTTAATTGTTTCGATCGGTTTCTTCCTTTTGCCTTTTACTTTATAATTTACAAATTTGTATTCTTCGTTTCGATCTTTACCACGCCTTTCTCCTAAAACCTCGGTTAACCGACTTAAAAGGGTGCGTATTTTAATTAGTCCGTTAGATCGTCTGGCTCTTGGCTTAACGCGGGTTCGAACCGGAGTCTTATTTTTGCGTTTAGACGCGGAAAGCCAAGGGTGCCAAAAAATATGGCCGGGAAGCGCTTAACCTCTCCTTGGACGGAAGACGTTTCGCCGGTTCTAAATCGACCCTTCCTTCCCGCGTTTGGCATCTTTACTCTTTTAAATCTCTAGTAGTAATAATACGCAATAAACGGAAGGAAGCCAATAATTTGTAACGGGCCCTCTGTTTAAATAGCGTCGATGAATCGAATTCGTTGGCGTATTAAATATAGTTTTTCCATCGTTTTACGTAAGAAATTTACGGCTGGCAAATAAAACTTAGTAATTTTGCCACTTTTTCTGGCTTCTAATTCCAATTACGCGTTTACTATTTTATTATTTATTCCGCGTTCTCGATATAATTTTGGGAGTAGGAACAATTTGGCCCGGCATTTGGAGGCGAGAGGCGTCGACATCCCTCGCGCGTTTCCGTTCGGATTGTATCCGGATTCCGGAATGCAATAAATACGTTTCCAGACTTTCTCTTCCGAATTTTCGAACGCTCCACCAATTTCGCCCGGAGCAGATATTGGCCCGGGCAATACTTCCACGTAGGCGGTACCTATTGGTAGACGCGTGACGATGAAAATCTTACCTAACACCGGCATCGAACACTAATTTATGACCGGTTTTGTCGAGTAAAACGCCATTTATTTCTTTCCTTTTCCACCGGTCTTTCCCTGGTTATATCATTTTCCGTAATTGCTCGATTAATTGGAACACTTTCTCCTTCGATCCCTACTCGTAAATGTATTAATGAATACCGATTTAATGCATTAAGCAAAATGTTCGTAACTAGTTAAATCGGCTAGAGTCGAGGCGCGTGACGTAAGCCGACCGCCGCTTTACTCGGTGCACGGTTAAATGCGAGAAACGGTAAACGGGGGTTAAATACGACCCAGTAAATGGCCGTTACTCGCCTACGAATGCACCAAGCCTTCGCCTTCGAGAATAAGGGGTTAGGATCTCTCGACTCGTATCCCCGAGAATAGAGGCTCTCGGGAAGGAAGTTTCTCGACCAATCTAAAGCTTTTCTCCTACTTAAAATATTCTGAATATTTTATCCAACGTCCCAATTAACTGCCAGACCTACTTCCGACTCGGACATTAATATTTGATACTTTATTCGTAATCTATAGGAGGTCGGACGCTTCCGTACATTCCGCCGACTTACTAATAAAGGCCGAAGCGTCCGTAATTTCGTCATAAATTGTTTTTAAACCATCCGGAAACGGACTCGAACTATCTCCCATTACGTATTCCGGGAGGGGACCGCATTCTATCTCGTTCCATCTCCGGCATTTTCGACTTCTGGCGTAGGCCGCGGTGGAAGAATGTCGGCCGGGAAACACTTTTATAAACTAATTTTACCACCTTTATCCTTTAAATTAGTTCGAATTTAACCGGATAAACGATCCGATTACGTCGACGGATGGCGATTCGTCGGATATCGATGGAAGCGATTGCTAATTTCGCTAGTGATTACGCGATTGTTTATCACACGAGACGGGGGGCCGAGGGAATCCGGTGTTTTGGCATTCGAAATGTTTACAAATAAAAAAATAAAAATGGAAATTGCCAGTAATCGCCTCTCTTTCTCCCGAAGCCATTAAATATACAGAATTGTTGACAGAATT